TTCCTTCTTCATCAGACCCGGGGACAGGCCTATCTGACTCATTGCTGGGTCCCCAGCCTCACCAGCCCAGAACGAGTTATGTGTTTGCAGAACACCCCTCCCCGCAACTTCTGCTGCCTCCTACTTGTTCCTACCCTGCCCTGCTGTTTCCCTGCCATTTAACAAATATTCCCAAAGTCCTTGGTATATGCTGGTCCCTCTGCCTGGAATGCTGTCCCCCACTCTGTCCACCTCCTATTTATCCTTCAGGACTGCCCTCTAGGAAGCTGGGGATCTTGCCCTGCTGCTTTTGCCCTGGCTTTCCTTGCCCCAGCATCTCCCGTCAGTGGCTCAGAGTCTGTAGCCTTCCAGTCCCCCATGTGTCTTTCCCATCAGAGCAGGTCTGATCTTGGGCTCCTCCACTGCCCAGCAGAGGACATGCAGGTTGACAACCAAAGATGGCCGTGTCCTGACCTCCCTCCTTCAGACCTTTCCCTCTGATCTTTCCTACAGGGACCCTTTCCTGCTCTACTGCATCTCCTGCCCCTCTTCAAGGCCTGGCTCACGAATCCCCTCCTATATGAAGTCATCCCTCACCCCCAGGCTGTCAGTGTCTCTTTCATGTAAGTTCCCCCAGTGACTCTGTTCCCACCCCCTGACTGTGGGTTCCTTGAGGACCCAGGTTGGAGTCGCTGCTGTGCAGGACTCAGGCTGTGTCTTTGAAATGAGTGAAAGCATGAGAGGATTCTCCATGCTGTCCAAGCAAGACCCTATCTTTGCTATCACCTGAGGACACCTCAATCCTCTGTCCCCGTCTCCAAAGCAATTCTGCCTAAACTTTTAAGATTCCCTCCACAGGGTTAGCAGCTAGAGGCAAAAACAGTTTAAGGGAAAATGTCCACCATTTAGTTTCCTTCATTCTCCCTACATTTTCTAGACTACTCCCACGAGGCCCCAGTGCTCACCACCCAGTCCTTGGCTGGAGCATAGCAAATTAAGTGCTTCCCTTGGCCAAGGTGTCTCTCTCTCTCTGTTTCTTTCTCCGTCTCTCTCTCTTTTGTACTGGGGATTGAACCCAGGGAAACTGAGCCACTAAGCCACATCCTCAGTCCTTTTTAATATTTTATTTAGAGACAGGGTCTCTCTGAGTTGGTTAGGGTCTTGCTAAGTTGCTGAAACTAGCTTTGAACGCACGATCCTCTTGCCTCAGCCTCTCGAGCCATTTGGGATTATAGGTGCCAAACTATCTCTCGATCATCCTTTCTCCCTTATCAGAGTGCAATTCAAGGCAAGGGTAAAGTCATTCCTATCAAGGCTGAATAGGGGCTCCATTTTTACCATGCACCAAAAGCTAAATGATGCGTGGACAAGGACTCGAGGGCATCGTCCATCAGGGATTAGGAACCTGGAGAGGCCATGGAAAACTTTGCTTCAACCTCTGCCCAGGCAGGAATGCTTCATGCCCTGCCCTTGACTTTATGAAAATTCTGGTGCTGCTTTTTTTGTTTGAGTTTTTTTTTTTTGGGGGGGGGGATTGAGCCCAGGGGGAGCTTAACCACTGAACTATATCCCCAGCCCCCTTTTTACGTTTTATTTAGAGACAGGGTCTCACTGAGTTGCTTAGCTTAGCACCTCGCTGTTGCTGAAGCTGGCTTTGAACTTGTGATCTTCCTGCCTCAGTCTCCTGTGCCCCTAGGATTACAGGCATGTGCCATTGTGCCCAGCCAACTGGTTTTAATGGAACAAGGTGTGACATGCCATCTGATTTAAACACACACACACACACACACACACACCATGTGCTCCCAATGATTCTGATGTGCTCCAGTGCCCTGGCATCTCCAGAAGTCCCTCTCTAAGTTTCACTTGAATAGAAAAGTTGGTTGGTTACTTAGGATTATGACCCTCTCTGACTTTCCAAGGAGCATGTAATTTTTTGGAGGAACTGGACACCAATAGCAATGCATGACTAGGCCCCTTGGAGCCACACCTTGAATCCCACCATTCTTAGGCGAGATCCACCCAGGGCTGCCCTGCCCTGAGTTCATCCACTGCCCCAAGTCTGGGACTCTGGGTCCCTTCCACCCTCCCCGACCCTCCCTCCCCGGACTTTCACTTCTCCTCTGCATTTCCCCCAGCCAGTTTTAGCAGACTTAGGCGAGCTTCTCGTTAAGCACTTACCGAAAATAAGGCTAAATATAGAGGGCCCAAGGACTGCCCCTCACCCTTCCTGGCCCCGCTTGGCCTGTCCCCTGGGTCCTCTGCCTCTACAGCCCGCCTTGATACTAGCTATGCCCTGGGAGCCCCTGTGGGCAGGGTTGATGCTGCCGGGAACCTCTGTGGGTCCAGCTGGCCCAGCCCCCGGCCTCCCCAGGAGCAGCACCTCCCACCCTCCCCCAACCCCACAGCTGTCCCTGGTGGCCTCAAGGGAGTGAGCACTTCTGAGCTGTCAAGAGGGAGGGATAGCCATGCAGGCAGCAGACACAACAAGAGAGGTGGCCTCCAGCTGTGCCAACAATAGGCAAGAACTCCACATCACACACCACAGCCACAGCCAAGCAGGGCCTGGCCAACACACACAAGACAGAGGTGTGCACAGATGCCAGACAGGAATGTTCACAGGTCTGCTGATAAAGACAGATGCCTAGTTGTGATGCCAGGGGAAGTTATGCAAAACATATACCCAGATGTTACACACTTATACACTGTTGTACCCAGAGTCACCACCACACATAGATGTGCACAATGCCCAGAGCCTCACGGAGATAGATAGATATGCACACACAAGTCACACAGATACACACATAGACGTGCCCAAACATGCACACAGTCACATATACAGAGTCACTTCATCCTGGACAGGATGACCAGAGCAGACCCCTGGGCCAGTTCACAGATGTGAAGTGAGAGTCCATGTAGGATGAGGAATCTGTCAAAGGCTGCATAATGTATTAATTCATGTCTGGGCAGGGAAAACCCAGGCCAGTCCACCCAGGTAGGGCTGTTTTGTGAAAAATTGCAAGTAAAGAGTCTAACTTGCTGCATATCACCTATGCAGTCCCCATTTGGTCCCCGACAGAGACTAGTCAGTGGTGGAACAGATACCGTGCATGTGAAGACACTATGAATCTTGTGTCCACAATACACAGGCACACACACACACATACACAGCTGACACAGTCAGTAAACACATGCCATCCTTTAAATAGTCTTCCTCCTTTACCAGGCACAGTGGCACACACCTGTAATTCCAGCAGCTTGGGAGGCTGAGGCAGGAGGATCACAAGTTCAAAGTCAGCCTCGGCAACTTCACAAGGCCCTAAGCAACTTAATGAGACCCTGTCTGAAGATAAAAATTTTAAAAGGAATGGGGATGTGGCTCAGTGGTTAAGCACTCTGAGTGGGTACAATTTCTGGTACCCCCTCCAAAAAAAAAAAAAAAGGAAGAAAAAAAAAGAAACATCTTTCTCCCGTCCCACCCCCTCCTTACCTCCTGGGCCCTGCTCACACCAATTCATACTTCATATCCCAGCTCAGACAGTCCCGTCCTCTAGAAAGCACTCTCTGACCCTGCACTAGCTGAACTGGATGTTTTCTGGCCTCCTACTACCCCCGTGCCTCCCCAATTCCTGCCTTGATCACTCTGTAGGATCACTGGTGACAGGTCTGTCTTCTCCACTGAACTTGGGGCTCCAGGAGGGCAGACATGAAGCTGCCTTTTTCAGTTGTATTTCCAACACCCAGCACAGAACCACTCAATAAATATGTGTTGGTAAAGGATCAGAGTGATGCCCACATACACTGGTGCACATAGGAGGGCATACATCAAGCCAAGATTCACACCCACAGACACCCAGAAACGTGACATACCCACAGTCATGCCCATACAGCCACAAATGAAAGAATCATGAAGTACCAAGTACTTGCCACATCCCAGGCACTATGCTAAGCATATTACACATGTCATCTCATTTAACATTCCCATCAATACTGTCAAGTGATAATCCGCACTGTGCCGAGATATGTGCATTCTACTCAGTGAACTAACAAATATAAATCATATTATACAGTGCCTGGCACACAGAGTTCACTTAGGCAACTGACATTTGGTGGAGGAGGCATTTAATAAGTACACAAATATATAATGAAATTTCAGGCATCAATAAGTGCTGTGAAGAAAAGAAAAGGCAGGTGAGGGGATCGAGAGAGGCTTATTGCTAATTTACACAGGGATATCAGACCTCTGAGGCGGTGACGGCTGAGGGGAAGAAGCAAGTCAAGAGAGCATTGCCAAGGCCACCTTACAATGACACACATAGCCCCCTACACCAGCTCATACACTTGCTAATGTGCTCATAAGAACCACCCTCAGAAGATTCAGAACTACTGCACACACATGCTCACACACATATACAGATGCACCACGACCTGTACACAGATGCATACATACGCTCAAAAGAATGGCAATACCCAAGTCCAGCAACTTAGCCTGCCAACCCCTTACCAGCCCCACCCAAGTGTCACCCACATTGCTCACCCCACTGGTTTTCCATACACGGTCTCACTACTAACACCTGGCTCTGTCCCTTCCTCCCAGAGACCCCCTCAGAACAGGGCAGTAGACATGGGGACAAAGGTTGGAAGCGTCAATGCCTGCTGTGAAAAGGTAGGGAAAAGGAGCCAGGGAGTGTGTGTGTGTGTGTGTGTGTGTGTGTGTGTGTGTGTGGCAGGGAGCCAGCCTGGGAAGAGGGGGAATTGCTGGAGTACAGAGCAGGACAAGAGAGAAAGCTAAAAAGGGATGGCAGGGGGGTCAGCTGAGTTGCCAGCACAACAAACCCAAATGTGCTCAACCTGTCCTTCCCACCAGTGCATAGGCACCTGCCCCCTTACCTGGAGCCCCCATGCTGGAGTGAACCATACTGCCCGCCCCACCAGGGCTGGGGGAACAACTGTGTCATCTCCCCGCCCTCTCTGGGGGCCAGCCCTCCTTGCCGGAAGTCACCCAGGGAGGAAACCACAGGGCTGGTCCGCCCCCTTCGGAAGGGAAAATACCCTGGCCCACAGACCTGCTCCAGCAGCCTAGCTGACCCCAAATCATGTGTGTGTGTGTTTGGGGGGTGGGAGTTAGTGGGACGGAAAGAAAGCAGGCTGGAAGAGTTGAGTCCTGCGGCTGCAACCCCGGGAGATGCTACAACAGTGACCTCAGCCCTCTTACTGCCCCCCATGGGGAACAGGAGACATGGGTCTGGGAGAGAAGGTAGGCTGATAGCAATAACAAACCCTAGCTGGCAGTTTATTGGGGGCGGATCTTCCCAGTGCCTGGCCTTGCGCATCATACTTGACAGGAGTCTTCTGGAGCAGCGGGCATTATTATTTGTCCCGTTTTACAGACGAAAAGACTGAGGATCAGAAATGTGAAAAGCAGCTTTCTGAAGGGCCCAAGGTCAAAAAGCGATGAAGCCAAAAAACAGGACACTGGGGATGACCAAACCCTGCACCTGTGCACAGGTAAGCCATCCAGGGTCACAAATGGGAAGAAATAGTGCCTGTGGGCAGTGACAGCACCGGCGGAGAGTCGGGTCTTAGTCCGGGCCGGTAAGAAGTCGGTCAGGAGGCAAATGCGGACGTCCAAGGCTGTGTGGTGGGGGAGCCCGCTCAGTGCCCTGGAGCCGAGGGCTGGCCCTGCGCGCTGCGGAGCTCGCAGCCTAGAGCCTACCTCCGTAACCGCCAGAGGGCGGCAGCGCCCCGCCAATGGGCTGGAAGGCGGGGCTGGCTGCGGAGGAAGAGCCCCTCCCTCCCCTCCCCTCTCGGTCTCCCCACCCTGCCCCCGCCCCCGCGCGCACACCTGCGAGGGTCACACAAAGGCGCAGGACTCCCCGCGCACCGCGGAGCAGACAAAGGCGCGCCAAAGCGTCGGGCCTCTTCCTTATCTCGACGTACAGGGTCCGAGGATGCAGAATCACAAGGCGCCTCCAAATACCTCTCCTGCGGCCCGGGACTCCCCGGGACACGCTGTGCCCCACGCTGTGGGGGCCCCCCAAACCACACGTCCGCAAACACACGTTTGGACTCACCCCAAGTGTTTCTACACGTGGACCCTAGCACTTCAAACACACACAGACTCCTATGAACACATCTCTGTGTACATGGCCCCAGTCCTCCCTCCTGACCATGGTCTCTCCCTTATACAGACACCTTCTTCTACTCCTCTATGTGGATCCTTGGGCACAAGGTCACATCTACACATATGACCAGTCTAGGTCTGGCCACGTGTATCTACATTCACACACATGCACACCCACAAGGGATGTGATAGACAAGCACAACTACATGGGTGCCCTCCCCATCTGCACATGGCCAGTCACCCGGATACACCTGGGCAGGCAGGTGGGCAAGACAGCGATGACCACAGTTCTCCCATCTGCACAGGGAGGACAGTGTCTAGGCTCCCACACTCCACAACATTCCATACCGTCAAGGCCATTGCACAGAGGACACCCACAGACCACACAGCATCTGGCTGCAGGGTTCCACACATGAAGGTCTTTCAGATAGCAGTCTGGTGGCAGTGGGCTACTGGAGCCTTGTCTTAGAGCTGCATTTGCCCAGTGAGCTCTGTTTTCATTTAGGATTTATGTTTGGGGGGGTTGGAAATGGGGGTCATATGACATTAATGGGGGGCAAAATACACTGGACACCCCTATGCTCCACCCTGAACATATTCAGCATCATCAAAGTGAGAAGCACACTTTTACACATGACTCCAGGCCAGCCCCTTAAGTGGAGCAAGGAGAGGACCGCCCACTTCTAGGGCAGTGCTCCCAGGTCTGAAGGGGAGTCCAGGAGCTGGGAAGGCCTTACTTGCTCCCTCGGGGGATGAAATCACCACCCCTGTCACCTCCCATGTTGGCTTTACTGTTATTGCCTCAGACCAGAGCTCAATCCCTGGGCCTGAATGAGGGGACCTGGGGTGGGCCTGCCCAAGAGAGAACAGAGGGGCAGAATTTGGGATACAGTAGGTAGGTAGGACTTGACAGCTGGGAATGGAGAGACCCAGGCAGGGGGAGATGGTGGCCTCCCTGACAGAGAAGAGGACTCAAGCCAAGCTGAACAGGGCAGGTAGGACACAGGCACTGGGGAGCAGTGGGGGCCACTCGAGGTGTAGGGAGCCTGCAGGGAGGCGGCACAGGGGAGGCCAGGCTGGGCTCAGGGCTGAGCGGTAATTAAAGGAGACGCAGGGGGCTCCCCAGGGCCAGCGGGGCTGGTAACTGACACGCGGGCCCCATTGCTCCGCTCATATTTCTCGCCGGATCGATACGTTTGACTCCCGACAAGACAATAATCGCTTGTACGCGGCTGGCGAGTCGATCAAATACATTATTAGAGCGAGGTCCCCCGGGGGCCCGCTGGAGAGTGGGGGGGCAGCAGCCAGCCCACCGGGGACAGCAGAGAGAGATTCTTCACCCCTTAGGGCCCCCCTGCCATGGCCTATTCCTCCCGGCCACCCCTGGGGACACTCTCTGTGGCTCAGTTCCCCAGTATCTCTCTGGACTCCTGTTATCTTTAGCAGTCTTTCTGCTCAGCCTTCAGCCTCATCCCTGCTCTATGTGGAGACCCAAAGGGCCTTTCCCCATAGATGCTGGCCTCATCTGTAGGGTTTTAGCATGTGGGAGTTCAGAGGGGCACCTCAGAACCCTTGCCTGGTGGGAGACAGGGAAACTGAGTTGCAGGCCATACCCTGAGTCCATGACTGGACTTGGAAGTGAACCTGGGCCCCATATTCATTAGCACCAATTTTTCTCTGCCTGGCCTCCCTTCTGCATCTAAGCACATTGGCCTTCAGCAGAGTCCAGGCCAGGGACAGCCTCCGAGAGATAGTGAGAGCTGGCTTAGAGACCTACATGGGCAGGAAAACAAGGATGGTAGGAATGGCAGACAAACCCATAAAGAGAAGTGTGGCCAACCCTGCTGCAGGCCAGGCAGTCCGTCAGGGGCCTCAGTGACCCTCAAACCATGCCTAGCCTCAGCTCTGGCCCACCGCAGGCAGTGCTTGCCCATCTCTTGCCCACTTTCCCATTTTCTGGGCTCAGAACTACTTCCTATTGACATGCTACCTAACCCCCTGGATCTGAGGTTCCCTCAGGACTATTTCTTCAACAGCCCCAAGTCAAAGTCAAGTCCTATATGGATCGACCAGCATCTAGGGACTCAAAATATTTCTTTACCTTTTCCTCCTCACTATCGTCATCAACACTAGCAGTAGCAGCAGCATCACTGTCTATTCTGTGCTATTTGAACCAATAAATTATTCCTAAATCTTCACAACAGTCTGAAGAGGTAAGGTTTGTTATCATCCCCCATTTTGTTGGTGGGGTTCAGAGAGTAGAGTCATCTGACCCAAGTCACATTGCGTGTGAGTGGTAGAGTATGAATTCAAACCTGGGTCCATTCTCCCCACAGCTTGTTCTCTCTCTGCTCTGCCATGGACCTCCTTTTAGACTTTGGAAGCCTCCCCATCATCCACTGGACAACAGGAATAGCCACTCTGTCCACTCAGGAACACTGGAATCCTCCACAGCCCCCACCCAACTCTGACAGCTCTTAGAGCCAGTTTCTGGATGTTCAGCAAGGAACTAGGTTCCTTCTGACCCCATCTGGTCCTGCCTCAAAGTAAGCCAACCCTTCTCCAGTTCCTTATTCTATACATTTCCTACATGTTTCTGGGTTCTGAGCCCTGTGCTGGGAGCAGAGGACCCAGAAATGAGCTAGACCTGACTGCACTCAAGTTGCTCATGGTGTGGGGGGAAGACATGCAGATAAAATATCTGCTAGTCCATCCCTCAGTCAGTATCCAGGAAATGCTACTGTGCCAGGACATGGCTAAACCCAGAGAATACAGGGATATGCTTTATCCCTCACCCCCCCAGAGCTTACATTTTTGGAGAGGAGGATCAGTTTTTTTTTAAATCACCAAATAAATATATAATCCCAATTTGGGAAAAGTGCTTTCAAGAACAGGTGAAGGACCCAGGCATAGTGGCACATGCCTGTAATCCTAGCGACTTGGGAGGCTGAGACAGGAGGATCATGATTTCAAAGCCAGCCTCAGCAACTTAGCGAGGCCCTAAGAAACTCAGTGAGACCATGGCTCTAGATAAAACATAAAACAGGGCTGAGGATGTGGCTCCGTGGCTAAGCACTCCTGGGTTCGATCCTTAGTACCAAAAAAAAAAAAAAAAGAATAGATAAAGGAGCTTAAATGGATGGTGGCACATTGCAGAAATCTGTCCCAAGGAGGTAACATTTACTTTGTAATTCAGCACAATATTCAGGATGCAAAAGATGTGGAGAAAAGCATTCCAGGCAGTGTGAACAGAAGAGGTGGTGGCCCTAAAGCAGCAAGCAACATGAAAATTCCAGGAACTGAAAATCAGCCTGTTCAGCAGGTACAGAGTGAATGAGGAAGAGGATATGATGATGAGGTGAAGAGGTGCAGGGCCAGGCCACACAGGGCCTTGCAGCCCCTGGCAAGAATTATGGAATTTGATTCAAGAACAGTGGGACACCACGAGAGAGTTTTAAGCAGGGAAATGACATGATTTTGTGAACATTTTCATGGATGATTATGGCTGTGGTGGTGGGGGTACACCAAAGAGCCAGAGGGTGAGGGAGTCAGCCATGAGGAAGCTGATACAGTGTCCACATGAGGGATGATGAGGACAGAACCAGGAAAGTGGCAGTGGGGGAGGAAAGAAGGAGGTGCCTCTGGAAGAAATTTTCTGTGCAGACAAAACAGGATTTGGTAGCTAGATAAATCTGGGGTGTGGAAGAGAGGAAGGAGTCAAGAGTGAGCCCAGCTACTTGGAAGTAGTTCCTGCATAGGAAGATGGGGGAGGAGGGAGAGCTTAAGCTCGGATGAGAAAGATCAGGGCCCAGAGAGACAAGAACCTTAAGGATGGATTTGATGTTGTAGATGGAAGGCTGCTGAGAGGGAGGTTCTGAGTGAGGAAGAGCCACCAGGGACTGGTATGGAGACTGGCTGGTGGGGTGAATCTGGAGGCAGGATGACCAGTGCTGAGAGTGGACACTGGTCCAGGCAGCCAGGGAAGACTGAAACATGAGGTGAAGGTGAGGATACAAACTCAATCTACAGTCACTAGGGACCAGGAGATCAAAGGGCGGGGGGGGATGCTAGGCTATCTCTGACGGACATTGGGAAGGGGAACAAATTTGGGGGAAGATCAGAAAGAAGCACCTTGGAATCAGTAAGGTCTATGGATCAGACAACCAGTGATGCTTAATAAACCACACTGACACAAGACACTGGACATACCCACTACTACCCGAGCTTCCCAAATCCACCAGAATGTACAGTCACCTCAAGTAAGAAGAGAAGTTCTGTGCTGTGGCTCAAAAAAACATAAAAATCAGAAGACCAGGTTGCTGTTTTACAACTGGACATCTGATGATTTAGGGACAGCCTCCCTGTACACTCTCGGCCTCAGTTTCCCAACTCTAAGAGGAAGGTAGGCTAAAGGGATACTTCTTTCAGCTCTAAAATTCTGTGGCTTGAAAGAAGCAAGAAAGGTAAGAAAGACTGATGATCAGCTCAAACAGAAAGAGAATGAATTGCAGGTCTACTCTATGGAAGACCTCACTGAGTTTATTTAGAATCCCTTGATTCCTCACTGCCACCTTAGAAGTAAGGACTCTTAATATCCCATTTTAAAGATGAGGAAATTGAGGCCCACAGTCACCTGAAGTCTTGCTGACCCCCAAGCCTGTGCTTAAATTGCTGTGTTGAGCTCATTGCTCTTACCCTAACACATGTCTCTCTCAGATTGTAGGTCCCCCAAGAACACAGTCCTTCATTTCCATTGCCACATACTCACTGGTCTCCAAAGGAGCAGATTCCTAGAGTCTCGTCACTGTACCCATGGACATCCCCTGCTGCACCCAGACTTTCCATTGCACGTGTGCACACACATGCACATGCACACATGCATCCTGCTCTGCTCCAGCTCTGACTTCCCCTCTTCCAGCATCTCAGTGACCACTATTGTCTCCCCTGTGCAGGGAGCTGTCCAAAGGCTGAAATGAATCTCCTTAGTCCAGACCCTTATCCTTGTCCACCCAGGGCCTTCTGGGGACTCCTAGATGCCCCCAGGACAAATCAAATCCCCATACCATGGCCTCAAGAGCTCTGAAGGGCCTCTATCCACACAAGCACCAAACTCCAGCTACACTGGAGGAACTGAGTTCATCCCCACCTTGGGGCCTTTGACCTGGTTGATGCTCTTGAATGCCACTCACCTCCTCCCAGTTTTCTCATCCTTTAGGATTCAGCTTGGAGCCGGGTGTGGTGGCGCACATCTATAATCCTAGTGGCTTGGGAGGCTGAGACAGTAGGATCACAAGTTCAAAGCCAGCCTCAGCAAAACTGAGGCTCTAAGCAACTCAGTGAGGCCCTGTCTCTAAATAAAATACAAAATAGGGCTGGGGATGTGGCTCAGTGGTTGAGTGCCCCTGAGTTCAATCCCTGGTACCTTCCTCCCTACCAAATAAGATTCATCTCAGAGGTCACTTCCTTAGAGGGCACTATATTCATCACATTCTACTATAATATTCATTTTTATTTTCTTCATGGGCTTTTGAATTTAATTACTATCTAGCTGTTTTAGTATTTTGACATCTAAAATGTAAGCTCTCTGAAAGCAGGTGTTCTTTTCTGTTTTCTTCACCATGGTATCCTAATGTTATCAGTGCTGGGCTTGAACCCTGTTATTGTTGAATGAGCAATTCCCTCCAGGCTTCCATGGCCCACAAACTGAAGTCTATGGCTGGATCTCCAAGCCCAAATGGATATGCCCCCTGTCAACCTCTTCAGCCATTTGCCCTCTGAGTTCACCTTCAAGCTTTGCTCAGCAACAAGGATTACGATGCGTGCCGTGTCCCTCCTGCCTGCTTTATCTTCCACACAGATTCTACCCCTGCTCAAATCTCCCCTCTCTGGAAGCCTTCCCTGACTCCACCAGAAACCCAATCAATAGGAAGGACCCCAGTCTTCCTACAGGAAGACTGGGCCTTAGCACTATTCATACTGTCTTGAGTTGCTTCCCAGTGAGGCTGTCCCCTGCAGCCTGTGATATTCTTAAGGATAGGACTGGGTTCGATTCATTATTGTTGAGTTGGGACCCAGCATATATCCAGGGCTCCAAAATGTATTGAATGAGGACATTTTCCCCATAGACTAAGTATAAGTATACATATACATGAATATTATGACTAGTTGGAGGGTTAGACAGATTAAATGGGTTCTCCCACTTATTTGCCTTATAACTAGGTCAAGGACTTCCCTCTCTGAGTTGCAGGTTCCTTATCTGTGAAATGGAGGCAGTAACACAGGATGACAAGAACTTCATTCATGTTAAGTATAAACTTGCCATCATGCCATAAGTACAAAAGAGTTCATTAAATCAAGGTCTGAGTGAAGGGAAGGGAGGGGATGTGGGGGTGGAAAGGATAATAGAATGAATTGGACATTATGACCCTATGTGCATACATGATCACATGACCTGTGTGACTCTACATCATGTACAACCAGAAGAATGAGAAGTTATACTCCATTTATGTATGATGTGTCAAAATGCATTCTACTGTCATGTATAACTAATTAGAACAAATAAATTTTTTTTAAATCAAAGTCTGAGATTGATAAAATCAGGAACAATCTTGATGCCACCAATAGAACAGTGGTTAAATAAATTGGTGGTATGTTCATATTCAGGAATCTTATATGGTCATGAGTGAGAATGATATATATCTATGGATATGGACATGGAAAGCTCTCCAAGGCACTATTGAGAAAAAATAATCAAGTTGCAGAATGAAGTTTACACTTAGATATCATTTAGGTAAAACACTCTACATTTTCTGTGGGTGCACAGGCATTGAGAGGAAAAGGTCTGAAAGATAATGAATTAACTAATGACTACTACCTTTGGTGAGGGAACCAAGACTGGAGAAGCATAGAGGATTCAAAGGAAATTTTAACCTTTTCTGTAAATGATTTTGGTTTTGGCTATGAGATCATATTCATTTTTAAATTAAAAATTAGAATACCAGGTAGAAAAGCAAAGCAATGATTATCCTAAAGGTTTATCAGGCTGGAGGCTCGTGGTTGCCTCCAGCAGGGAGAGAGGGTGCTTGGGAAGGGATTCAGGGAAGGAACTTATGGATGCTGGGGTGCCTTTGACACCTCAACTCTAGTGGTGATGATAGAGATGTTCGCTGGGTCAGCATTCATTCAACTGTCCATTTTTGTCCTGTCCAGTCACCATAAGCTTCCTGAAGGCAAGGGCAAATTTGTACACATGATAGCATCATCTGACTCTTCTTCCCTCTTTCATTCCACTGCTCAGAAACAAATTTAAATAAGTTGGTGTCCAGCGTTCGATAGGGCGCGCCCGTAGCTGCAAACACTTGGCGGGACTGAGGCTGCTGTCCAGGGTACTAACAGCCAAGACCGGAAGGCCATGGGGGGAGGCTGGCAAAGTAAGCCAGTTCTAAGACTTCTTACTGTAAAGGCCACTCTAGATTGTGCCCTGTGACTTGACGCCACCCCTTCTGTACTCCCCCTGGCTCTCTCCCATCCTCTACACACTTCCTTCATGCTGGCTGGATCTCGCTTTCTGCAACCCCAAGCCCAAGCTCTCCTCCTTGCCTCAAGACTTTGCTTTTGCTCTTCCCCTGCCTCATGCAATCTTTCCCCAGTCATTCTCCTGCCTTCTCCCCTCACTTACTGCGAGGTTCCAGTTAAACATGACCTCTATAGAGAAGTCCTTTTGATCACTCTAACTCTTCTTCTCTCATCACTCCATTCTTTACCATATTGCATTTTCTTCTAACACTCTCCTCTAATGTTCAAGTTTCCATGTGTTATGTATTATGAACTTGCTAATTATCTCTCTTCCACAACCTGAATGCTTTTGCTTGGAGGATGGGGAGCATGTCTGTCCTGTTATTTTTTGGTGGGGAGGGTATCAGGGATTGAACTCAGGGGTACTCAACCACTGAGTCACATCCCCAGCCCTATTTTATATTTTGTTTAGAGGTAGGAACTCACTGAGTTGCTTAGCATCTCACCATTGCTGAGCCTGACTTTGAACTTGCAATCCTCCTGCCTCAACCTCCCGAGCTGCTGGGATTATAGGCATGTACCACCATGCCTGGCTGTCCTATTATATTTTGTCTTCCTTTTAAAAAGTACTTCAGGTGCAAAAAACTGGATTAATTATAAACCTTGGTCATGGTGTATTCCCATCACTGAGCTAGATAGAGCCCTTTTTCATTATTTATCTGTTTACTTAAGTGTTTTTTTTAAATATTTTTAGTTTTAGATGGACACAATACCTTTATTTGTTTATTTAGTTTTACATAGTGCTGGGGATCCAACCCAGGGCCTCACACATGCTAGGCAAGTGCTCTACCACTGAGCTACAACCCCAGCCCAATTTAAGTGTTTTTAATAATGTGTTAACATGAACCCACCACTCAACATTCAGATTACATTTGTGACAATAATCCCACTGAGTTGTGTCTTTCCTGTGTCTCCAGTGCCTGCAATGTAGTGGGTATTCAGTATATATTTGCTGAAGAGAAAATGACCTCCATACCCTGCCAAAGGGGACTATTGGGAGTGTGCACCTGGGTGGGGGTGGAGAAGAAATCAAAGGCCCGGCCTTCCACTAAGCTCCCCACTCTCCAGTGGGGACATTGATGCTTAGCAAGTTAGGTCATTTACCTGTGGTTATGGGGATGGAACTATGACCAGTACCAGGCAGCTGGACAGCAAAGTCCATGTTGCCAACATGGTTTTCTTCCTCAAACTTACGCTTTGCCCACCTCTTCCCTTTGACTCAAATGGTGGACTTAAACCTGGGCTTTGCTGTCCAAGATATCCACATGTCTCCCTTCCCTGTCTTGTTATAGCCTCCTGCCAATAAGAGCCAGTCACTAGGAGCTTGTCTATTGGTTGCCAGCCTTGAGTCACAAGGACTCTGGGATGCAGACCAAATGGTATTCCCCACTCCACTTTACAGGCTCTTGGCACCTTCTGCAAGCCCACAAGCAAGTCTAGGTGTGAGAGGAGCCTACACCTTTCAGATCTACTTGTTCCTGACACCACCTTACTCAGAGTTCACCTCCTTCATGGAATCTTCCAAGGGAATGCCTCTCACTCACTTCCAGGCTTGATCTCATTCTGATCACAAACTTCTGCTCAGTGCTAAGAACACCAGGAACTTTGCAGTTTATGTGAAGACCAATAAATAGATGCAATCCAGGCCCCTACCTCCCAGAGGTTCCTCCAGCCTCTAAAGAAAAAGTAGCAGATGCCCTGGTGAGAGGAAAAGCTCAGGTATGTGCAAGCCCAGACCTTAACTCTCTCTCAATGTCTTTGAGCCTCAATATCATCACCAATTCCAAAAGTGCCCTCTGATTCCTTCACTCCCCTACTGCAATCCAGGCCACCAATCTCTGCCCTGAATGACTTTAGCAACCTTCTCCCTAAGGATCTTCCTACTTCCATGCTTGACCCTGATGAGTCTTGTCTACTCTTAACACCTAGAGAGAGTATGCTCAGTACCCAACAAGCACCTGGCTCATGGAGAGTACTCAACAGAATGCTGAATGCATTTGTTCCACGGGGACACCTGAGGCTTCTGAACCTTAGTTTCCACTTCCTTAAACCAAGATAATAATTCATCTATTACAAGGAATAATGAGGATCCAAGCAGAGAATGAATATTGATAATGCTTTAGAAAAAGTGCTCCAAAAATATAAAAGCTTAAAAGAGCCAGAACTAGGGGATGAGCACGATTTCAGAGAGGAGCAAGGAGGAGGGGCACGGCCTTTTATCAGGTAATCTTATTGTATTTTATATTTCCTGCTTCACTAATTCCTATGAGGTGGTGGTTATGACCCAGAGGAAGAAACAGGATCAGAGAGAAAAATCCAACTACCATGGTGTCACAGTGAATCCATGGCAGAGTCAGGATTTGAACCCCTCACACTAAAGCATTCACATTTTCTAAGCACCTCCTTAGCTGGGGGCTCTCAAAAAACATTTCTGGGTTGAATCAATGAAAGGCAGCCAGAACCATTGGGTCTAAATGGCAGTCCTGACTCTGGCACTAACCATTTGGTGACCATGAGCAAGCCACTTGCCTTCTCAGCCTCAGTGGCCCCATCTTGAAAGCAGGATTAATGACAATGCCTGCACCTAACGTGTCAGAGTCAGCAAGACAACCCAGGTCCCAAAAAGCTGTCCATAAGCAGCTATTAGGATTGTTACTCTTCCACTTGAGGGAACAGTGTGAGCAAAAAATGATGAGAGGCCAGTGGAGAGAGGAACACTCAGGGAGGGCCATGCAACAGAGGGGACATCTAGAGCCAGATGAGAAAGGACTCCCAAATCTGCACCTAGCTGCCAAGGCAGGAAGTGGGAAGTATTGATGAGTCCTGAACTTCAAGGAATAGCTCCTGACCAAGTGTATGATCCTCAGGAAGCCATAGAGGTAGTGAGGTCATTGCTGCAGAAGCATCCCCTATCTCCTGCCCATCGAATTATCTTCTGACCCAGAGCCCTCCCTTCATTCCAGGTTTCTCAACCCCACTAGAATCCCACACTCCTAAGCCATTCCTGCCAATCTTGTCGCCCAGCCCTGGTCCTCTAGCTCATGCCCTGGCCTTCCCCACTAACCAGCCTGAAGGAAGGCTCTCTTTTCTTAGGAAGGCCTTTTACCAGCTGGAAAGCTGTTATCTGAGGGTAGTCAAACACTTACAACTAGCTGAGGTATAAGCAAGCATGTGACCTGTGGCTAGGCATGAGTGTCTACACACAACTTTTTTAACCTAAAGGGCTTCATCCCTCGAGTCAGTGGGACCTGTGTGACACAGAGCTTCTTACTCCCTTCATAACCAGGGATCTGTAGACCATGACAGCAAGACATGGACACTGACTTAGTGGAAAGATCTGTGGATGTGCAGTGGAGTGACCGGTTGGGTCACTGAGTCTTGGATGAAGATGGCAGCTTAGAAAGGAGATCTAGGGTCACCTCAGAATTATTTTCCTGTCAAGTGACCCCCATCTGTCGGCTTCTCAATTCACCCCAGAGATTCTGAATCCCTTGCTCTTTCCTCTGCTCTGTCTCTGCTCTTTCTGAGGCCACCCTTCTCTCTCTCTCTCCACCCCCTGGCCTATCCTATGGCATAGGCTCTTCATTCCATCATTTGCTCCACACATATCCCTTGAACCCTGTCCATGTGACAGATACTGAACTAGGGATCAGTTCAGTATCAGTCATATCGACAGACCCCTGTCACATACAAAACTCTTAACCCAGAAATCTGATAATGGAGGTGGGGCCTGGGATCTTGAATCTATCTTTCACACTACTCCTTAAAGCATGACCCCAGTCATGTCACTCCTAAGCCCAGACTGAGCAGAAAAACCTTGGCATACCAGAGCTTGCTTTCTCTCTTCTTTCTTTCTTTCTTTCTTTTGTGTGTGTGTGTGTGTGTGTGTGTGTGTGTGTGTGTGTGTGAGAGAGAGAGAGGGAGAGGGACTGAGGATTGAACCCAAGGGTGCTTAACCACTGAGCTCTTTTTTAATTATTTTTTTAGTTGTCAATGGAACTTTA